CTGGCCCCCTTTAGTCCCAGCCTGACTGTCTCCAGCCCTGTGTTCTGACCACCCCTGGGCAGGGCCAGGCAGGGAGCCATGCAACAGTTCTCTCTGGGACCCTCCTCGGACCCTGGGGCTGGCTGAGCACACATACCGATTTCCTAATGAGGCTGAGGGGAGTTGGCCTTGGATGTTGGAGGCCCTTGGCCATTTGGCAACAGCACGTTGCTTGACTTCCTGTGATCCTCCCTCGGACTGGAGGAGGCCCAGCCTGCTAGAGCCAATGTTGTAACAGAGGTGAAGCTCTTCAGAGGGGAAGAAGTAAGAGCAACACTCTCCCGGTTCCCCCCTGGGAGAGCAATTCTGTTTTCCATTCCCAGACTTCGGCTCTTTGCAGAAACTACCCCTTGCACAAAGCCAGTGGCTTCAGTGTGAGAAGCGAGCCTTTTACCAGCCCCACACCCAGGTGGGCTGCCACCCCAGGGCCAAGATCACCTCCTTTTGGAAGCCTTGCAAGATTGTCAGCTCAGGCTGCACTTGTCCTTCTCAGGCTCCAAACACTTACTGTCTGGAATTTATGCTCTGGATTCTGACCCTTCTTTCATTTGTTTACCATGAAATACATCTTGTGATCTGCTCTGGGACTGCAGAAAGTACAGCAGTGGCAAAATTACCGTGAGGAGGATCTGCCCACACCTCCCGGAGTAGGATACCCAAAGGGGCCCTTTTATGAGGCCGAAGCTCAAGAGACAGACACATTTTTAGCATGACAAAGTAGGTGAGACACCCTCCCGAGGGGTTATCCACACAGTGCAGTGTCTGATTGCCTTTTAGATACTGTACCTTGGGGTTGGATCTCCATGAAGGACCTGTGCTTGAGGATCGAGTGGGGACAAATGAGGAAGCTGAGGTTCGGCCAGGTTAGGCTACTGGCTCAAACTCACGCATTGAGCAGGTGGTGGGTGAGCTGGGACTCGGGCCCAGGCCTATAAGTTTCCCAGCCCATGCTCTTGATTTGCTTTGCTGTGTGGGAAGTGGTCACTGCTCACAGCACCACAAAAGGAGTCGATGTGAGCCATGGATTCCTCTCTCGTGCACATACCCAGCCCAAACCCAAAGCTCGGAGGACTGAGAGCTCCATTTGTGGTGCCCCTGGTGTGTTTTCCTGGGGGCTCCAGGACTCTCCAGCCAGTTAGTGATGAAGGTTGAATTAAGACTAGGCACTGAGCAACTTCTCCGTGCAAATTGATTCACACTTTACCTCATTTAATCCCCAGAACACACCACATAATGGGCACTGTTTCCCCATCTTTAAATAAGGATAAATTTCAGAAGGGTCAAAGAGGTTGATCAGAGTCACACAGAGTGGGTAGCCTGGCTGGAACAATAGAGCCAGGTCCACCAGCTTCAAACCCAATGCACTTTCCTCTGGGAAAAGTCAACATCCTAAGGACCACAGAGTAGAAAGATGGACAAAACCAGCCCCTGAATTCACCAACTCTTGATCAACCCACCTTAGAATTCCTGCAGAGATACTGTATTTTCCTTATGTTTTCAGCCATGTTGAGCTGGGATAACAGAAGAGAGTGTGCACAGATGATGGACATATTCTAATCCTTAATGTGGTCCTGGTTACCTATAGCTACACATGTATGAAAATTCATAGAACTAGAAGAAACTCTAGGAAGTAAATATGGCATAATGTTAAGATTTTACAAACCTGGGTAGTCTATTCCTATGTATATGTTTGAACTATTTTACAATAATAAGAAAAAAACAAAAAAAAAAAAAAAAAAGAAGAAGAGGAAGAGGAGCAGAGGAGGAAGAGGCATTGGAGGAAGCTTGCTTAGTTGTGATGGCTGGAGCTGCAGCAGCCATCTTACAGCCATGAAAGAAGTCAGTGTGAGACTAAATCTGAGACACTAGGTTAATAGAGCAGAGAGATGGAGAAATGGTAAATGTCTGCTAGCTGCTGAAACAGCCAGAACTTTAATCTGCCCTCTCTCTTTGGATTTCTCTGAGATAACGTGCTTATTGTTGAAGCCATTGTAAATTGGGGATTTCTGTTACTTGGGTTGAAAACATTGTCACTCATACAGAGTAGAGAGTCAGATCTGAAGCAGTGGGGCACCTCCCTAGCCAGTGGCAGCACTGAAAAGAAAGCTGGAGGGTCACTGACGGACTCATCTGGATTTGGCTGGCCATGAGCCACCAGAGGGAAGCCAGGGGAGGTGGCTTATTCAGAAACTTGCCAGTTGGTTTTAAGATTTCCTTTTTGTGGCAATGTAAGTCATAGTCACATGAGTTCCACTGTAATGCTCCTTTCCTGTCTGACACCCTCACAGATGCAACCCCTGACTGGGCCAGGGAACTCGGGAATTTGGGGCAGTTAGAACTGCAAGTGTTCAAAACTATGTAAGATAACCTAATTTTGGGGGGGTCCTGGGTGGCTCAGTGGGTTAAGTGTCTGCCTTCGGCTCAGGTCATGATCCTGGGGTCCTGGGTTCAAGCCTGGCATGGCATCGGGCTCCCTGCTCAGCGGGGAGCCTGCTTCTCCCTCTGCCCCTCCCCCTGTTCGTGCTTTCCCTCTCTCTCTCTCAAATAAATAAATAAAGTCTTTTTTAAAAATCTAATTTTTTGACAAATCATCCACCTATGTGTTTTGGCTGTTGCTTAGAGCTATCTTCCTTGTACAGACGCAGACATCTGACTCGGGGGGCCCAGGAAAGTAGAGCTAGGGTGAGGACTCAGGGTGACAAGTCCTCCTGGGAACTGCCCCAAGTAAGGGGAAGAAGTCTTGTCTCCATGAAAGGCGGTGTGACTTTGACAGGGGCATAATGGCTCAGTTTCCTCAACTCCAAAATGGAGAATAATCACCCCTCCCCCTCATGCCTCCCTCGAGGGTTGTTTTTAGGCCTCGAGATAATATATGTAAAGCGTCTGGCACACAGTAGATGTTCTGTACAGGGCCACTGTTTTCACTCTTAAACAAGCCAGAAGGATTCTTGTTGTGGATGGGGGCGGGAAGGGAGAACCTTTTAGAACCGGGCAAAGAGAAGGAAGAAAAACAAAACAAAAACTAAACAACTCAGGTCTTACATCCTCCCTGCTCAGCGGGCTTCATTAGACTTTCATAAAATTAGAGTCTGGGAGACCGGGCGCCAGGGGGTTGATGGGGACTCAGCAGGAGAGAAGCTGGCCTCCCCCTCCGCAGCCCCGCCCCTTCTCTCATCACCATGGAGACCGAGCTGGCTGCCCGGCGGGGTTCCTGCCCACCCAAGGCTTAAGGCTGCGGGCAAAGGGAAGGGCAGGGGCCGAGCAGACAGAGACCCGACCGGAAAGCGCGAGTGCGGGTGGGAAGTGTCTACGTACCCCCCCACCCCCCGACCCCCGGAGGCGCTGAAGAACTCAGGCTGAAGTGGGACGCTCCTGGCGGTCTGGGGTCTGCGTTTGAGTCGCAGCTCTGCTAGCGGCTAGCTGAGTGACTATAGGAAGAACATTTCCCCTCTCCAAGCCGCAGGTTCCACATCTGTCAAAGGAAGGGGTATAAAGGAGCAAAAACAAAAGCTGGGTGAAGAAAACTGTAGGATGAGGAAGCAATGATATATGGTGCGTGTAGAAGGATATTTAGTGCTGGGGGAGAACATTCACTACATACTGATTACTGAGAAAGGGGAACTTGACAAAACTGACCAGTGTGATCCCATTTTTGTTTGTTAAAAAAAAAAACACACTCTATCTATGCTTACCAAAACTGGGGGAAGGGATACTCTAAAAGACACAAAACACCTCTGCTTGTCTCTAGAACCGGGGATCGCATGCAATTTTTATTCTCTTGGTTCTTTCTCACATTTTGGCTGGTGAACATGGATTACTTTTAAAGTCAGAGAGACGTTAATAGCTACCATTTCTGTGCTTATTATGCGGGGGCGGGGGGGGGCATTGTGCTAAGTGCTTCACATGGCTTAAAGCCCTTTCTGTCTTCACAGAAATCCAAGGAGGGAGGGTACTCTGATTATCCCCACTTTACAGAAGAGGAAACTGAGTTTCAGAGAGGTTAAGGGGCTTGACCAAGGTCAAACCACCAGAGAGTGGCAGAGCTGAGATTTAAAACCACAGCTAAGATACTGGACTCCAAAATTCAAGCATTTAATTATTACCACTACTGTCTCTTAGGACAAGAAAATGCTAAAGGGCCTGTTATTTAAAATGTTTTACTATGGAAAATATCAAGGCTATCAAAAGTGGAAAGGAAAATATCACTTCCAGTTGTAAAGTGAGTAAGTCCTGGGGATCTAATGTACAGCATGATAAGTATTAGTTAAGAACACCAAATTGTATACTTGGGATTTGCCAAGTGAGTAGATTAAATGTCTTCCCGCCACACACAAAAATGATAGCTGTGTGAGGTGATGGATGTGTTAATTAGCTTGGTTGTGGCAATCATCACGTTGTATACTGTAAATGTATACAATTTTATGTGTCCATTATACCTCAGTATGGGGAAAAAAAGAAAAATGTAATAAATCCTGATGTACCCAGGACCCAGCTTCAGTGAAGCTTTTAGGTGGAGGGATTTGGGTGAGGGCTCAGGGAGGGGCATGGGGATGCTTAGGGAGGAGAATGATGCCAGAACCAGAAGTCTCATCCTATTATATACACACATACCACACACACATACCACACATGCCCCCCCAACCCCATACACACACATCCCACACTCGACCCCCCCATACACCCCCACCACACACACACACGCACATAGACACACACATGCGCACCCACAGGCAGGCACACACTCACAGGCACACCCTCACACACACCTCGTCCCCCTCCCAACTCCCAGGCTCCCCTTCTGGCTGCCCCTGGGGCTCCAACCATGACAGGCAGCAGTCCTCCCCCTCTCCCGCCCCCACCCAGTTTCCTTCCTCCTTTCTACACCCAACTGGCTTGCGTTTCCCCAGCCAGGTCCTTTATAGATCCCTGGCTCCCCTCCAAGGCCTCCAGGCTTTGGCAGCGTCTGAGAACGAAGACATGGCCAGAGAACCTGACAGCGTGCTGAGATGGGCAGCCCTGTTGGTGCTTGCCACCCTGGGCACAGCTGTGATGACGGCCACCAACCCCGGCGTCGTGGCCAGGATCACCCAGAAAGGCCTGGACTACGGTAATCAGACGACTTTCCTTCCCTCCTCTTCCACCCTTAAAGAGCACTTATTGAGCACCTGCTGTGTGCAGCCCTTTAATTCTAGTGCATAGCCTGCTCACTGCTCCTCAAAGGAGGCCCTCTTACCCCCATCGTATAGATGAAGAAACTGAGACTGGGTGAGTTGCCCAAGGTCACAGAGCTGCAAAGTGGCAGTGCTGGGATCAGAGTGTTGGTCTGGAGGACTCCAAGTCCAGTGCTCAGGCCCCCAAGGGTCCTTGCGGTCCCTTCCCTCTCTCTACCCAGCTGCCAACTCAGGCTTCTAGGCCCTTCTCTTCCCTCCAGAGCTGGTTCTCAGTCTTATCATTTGCCTTGAGATCCCTGGCTCAGTCTCCAGCATGGGCAGAGCCCAGGCCCTGTGAGGAGGCTGAGTGATGAGGAAGGGGAGAATGAGGAGAGCCTTCTTCAAGGTCTCCTCCAGGGTAGGGGCTTGGCACAGCCATACTGTGCACATGACCCATCTGGATGCCCCAGAGAGGCTCCCTCCAGGCCACTCACCCAGGCCCAGACCTAGGAAAGCGTGGCCTGGAACAGCCCCTGCTGACCCGCTCGGATCTGGGCCAGCCGCTTTACACACCCCATCTCCTTTCATCTTTATGTCAACCTTGGGTGGGACATATTGTTAACTAGCAACAATTCACAGATGAGCAAACTGAAGCTTGGAGGAGGGACTGGGAAGTACCGGGGGCTCCAAAGGAGATGCATTATGAGAATGATGACAAGGCGAATTGCTCTTGTCTGCTGGCTCAGAGCAGGTTCCTGGGGGAAGTGATGATAGAGCGGACGGGAAGTTGACCAGGTGAAGGTGGGAGGGGAGGGTCTTGTAGGTAGCAGGAATGGCCCAAGCAGAGGTTCGAGTCCTGGCAGAGTCGCAAAAAAAAAAAAAAAGAATGGCGCAAAAATCCTGCGGGGAGTGAAGCCAAAAGTCAAAGAGGTGGCTTACCCGTGAGGGCATAGCGCCAAGGGAGGTGCAGAGTCAGTGTTCCAGAAAGACTCATAGGACACATGACTGGGTGTTTAAGGTGATATTTTAGACCAGGGATTGGCAAACGACAGCCCTCAGGCCAAATTTGTCCCACCACGTGTTTTTGTATGGCCCGTTGAACTAAGAATGGCATTTACGTCTTAGATTTTTAAATGGTTGGAAAAAAAATCAAAAGAATAATATGTCATGACGTGCAAGTTATATGAAATTCAGATTTTAGTGTCCCATCAATAAAGTTTTATTGGAACATAGCCACACCCATCCATTTACATATATATTGTCTGTGGTTGCTTTCCGACAATCACAGCAGAGCAGAGTGGGTGTGACAAAGACAGTATGAGCCACAAAGCCAAAGATATTTGCTATCTGAGCCTTTACAGAAAACCCTCACTGACCCCTGGTATGGACAGGGACAGGCTGAGCCTCTGACCATCACCCCTGTTCTCACCCTTCAGCCTGCCAGCAAGGAGTGGCCGTGCTGCAGAAGGAGCTGGAGAAGATCAAGATCCCAGACTTCTCAGGAAGCTTCAAGATCAAACATCTCGGGAAAGGACATTATAGCTTCTACAGGTAAGGCCTGCGGAGCTCAATCCTTAGCGTACAGAACTTGTGGTGTCCTGGGGCCACCAAGACCTAAACCACAGAGCCCCAAACTCCTAAACTCAGAGAGGTTAAGGTCCACAAACTAGTGTTGACACCACCCCAAGGGGATATAATCCCCCAAGCTGAGTGTGGAGGAGGCCACAGAAGGTACTCACCATGACTCCCAAGGCACGGGGAATGAGTCATGAACCCCCAAACTCTGTGCTAGGCCCATATAACAATAGGATTGGGGGGGGCTGTTTTCAAGGACAGGAAGCCTAATCTAAAATGGCCCAAGACAGAATTTATTGGCTTACATGTTTGAGACGTCTCTGGAATAGTCTGGCTTCAGGTTAGCTTGAGGTAAGCCCAAATGTCATTGGACCCTCTTTTTGCCTTGCCACTTTTCAGCATCTCTTCCCTTGGGAAGGTCCAGTTCTCAGGTAGGGGGTCCCCTTGAAGATGCAAGATGGCTACTAGCCTTTCCTCAGCACTGAGAATCCTGTGGAAGGAGAGCACTTTTCCCTTGCAATTCAAGCAAAACCCCTAAGATTCCCTGTGATTGTCCCATCTTTGGTTATGTACACATCCCTGAACCAATCACTGTGGCCAGGGGATACCCTCCACTAACTAGTTTGTGCCCGAGTCCAAAGCTCCACCCCGTGAAGGTGGAGGTGAAGTCAACTTTCTTTGGAGTGACAGAGAGTAGATGTGAGGGGGGTTCCCCCAAAGTAAAAAGGCAGCTCTAGTACCATGAGAAGGGGGTGTGGGTAGTGGGAAGAAAACCCCCAAATGTCTTCTACAGAATTTTATACACCTATTCATTCAACAGATATTTTTGAGCACCTACTATGTGTGTGTTGCAGCAGGCTTTGCTATAACAGTGAACCGAGAGAGACAAATTCCAGCCTTTTATAGAACTTGCAGCCAGTTGAGATTACATGTATTATCCTCATTGATCGTCACACTTCCTGCAAGATGGAGATTATTATGCCCATGTTACAAATGAGAAAACCGAGGCTCAGGATGATTAAGTGACACGCCCAGGGTCACCAATAGCACACTGAAGAACAGGATTCTAATGCAGATTTGTCTGACTTTAAAGCCTAGCTACTCTGCCCAAGGCCCACAGAGTTTCCAAGGCTGCTCTTATAGCTTCTGGGTTCTCCTGGAATGGATACGGTGCAGGGTCGGGGGTGGGGGTGGTTTTGCACTAACCATTAACTGAGTCCTTGTGTGGACCCCCAGGAGGCTAACAGAGCATTTCTTCTTCACAGCATGGTTATCCGTGGATTCCAGCTTCCCAGTTCCCAGATAAGACTAGTGCCCAATAAGGGCCTTGATGTCTCCATCATAAATGCCAACATGAAGATCAGTGGAAAATGGAAGGCCCGAAAGAAATTCATGTGAGTTTCCAAGCTTGGGGTTTATTGAGTGTGTGGGGTGAGCTCTTGGTGATATTTGGAAGGGGTGAGAGCCAGGATCACAGGAATGCCAAATTTTTGCCTAACCCATCACCACTTGTCCCCACAGGGTTCCTGGGGGCATTTTTCTTGTATGATGTTTCAACATAGCCTTGATTAATAGCTGAGGATTTGTCCACATCACAGTGCAAGACACTGTCAAGAGTTGGTACATGTGGCTTAGGACGGAAGGCTAAGTGGGATCATTCATTTACCCCTTTATCAGTTGGCTATTGCTGTGTAACAAAACACCCTCAACTCAGCCCCTGAAAACAACAATCATGTATTATCACTTTGTTATCTATGTGTCAGCTGGGGTTCTGCTGATCTGGGTTGGGCTCAGCTGAGGCAGCTCTGCTCCAATGTATCTCTTTCTCCTCCTCCTTAGACCAGTGGGCTACTCAGAGCATATCCTTGGTGATGGCAGACGTGCAGACAGGGCAACTGGAAACACATAGGTCCCCCCAAGGCCTAGGCTCAGAACGGGTCTATGGTCAGTTCTACTCATATGCCATTGGCCAAAGTAAGTCGTGTGGCCAAGCCCAAAGTCAAGAGCCTGGAAATGCACACAGCTCCCCCCAAGATAGGGAAAGGGGTGAAACATTGAGGCAGATCATCCAGACTACAACTCTAATGCTACATATTGGGTTCCCCGCAAGGTGAGCCTGCCCTCTAGTGGTGGTGGCTCAGAATGACCGATCACTTCAGCGACTTCTTGGTGGGGAGTCCAGGGGCAAAATGGAGGGAGGAGAAGGCACTCTGGGGAGAGGGACACGAATCTGCCCTCCCGTACAAAGACTGCAGGGTCTGTCCCTTCCCCACAGTAAGAATCGCTTAGTTCTTCACGTGGGCTCTTTTGCATCTATCATTTCACTCACTGATGGCAAAAAAAAAAAAAAACTTCATCATATTGAAGGAGAGTTGACAAAATACATTTAGGTCCACTATCTTACCCAAACTCGTTTCATCCCTGAAGGAGAAGTTATTAACCCCATTTCACTAATGAGAGCATTAATTAAAGTCCTGGACCCCCAAGCCCCCAGCTTTTTAGGGGCAAAGCCAGTGTTCCACCACTAGCCAAGGGTCTAGGTGAGGCAACTGGACCTCAGAGCTGTTAAGACACCCAAAGCCACTCAGCGAGGGCAGAGGCAGTGCGTCAGAGCAGCGTTCCACCAGGCGGACACGGACCCACGCTTCGTTCAGTGCTGTGTGACCTTGGGCAGGCTGCCTCCCCTCTCTGAACTCCATCTCAAATAGCAAAACCTACCTGCCAGCACAAGCTTGCAGTTTGAGCGGCAGTGGGGAAGAAAGTGCTTGCTCCAATTCTTTTGTCCATGTTTTCCTTCAGCAAAGCCAAGGGCAACTTTGACCTGAGTCTGACGGGCATCTCCATTTCGGCGGGTCTGGAGCTGGGCTTTGACCCCGCCTCAGGCCTCCCCACCGCCACCTGTTCCAGCTGCAGCAACGATATCAACAGTGTCCACGTGCACATCTCAGGCGGCAAGATGGGGTATGATCTCCTGGGACTGTGGGTGGGAGGAGGGATCTCAGGAAGCACCGTCCTAATCATCTCTGTATTCAGAAAACATGCCAAGTGCCCCCTCCTTGCCAGGTCTCGTACAGGGGCCTCAGGTGTAGGGGAGGGACAGGGTCCATGGACAGAGCAGACACCCTCCCTGCCTCAAGGAGTCGCTTGTTCATCCAACATTCATTCAACAGACTACTGAGCATGTATGATGCCCCTGGCTCTGGGCTACCCACTTTACGTGCACTAAAACTATACAATCCTCACCACCAATCCATAGGCATGTACGCATCCACTCAAGAAATGTCATCTAAGAATCTGTTGTGCACCAGGCTCGTGCTCAGGAAATAGCAGTGGCCAATTAAAATTCAGCAATAGCTACCAGCGGCACACACCATTGTGTGCCAAGCATTCTTTTAAGCTTGTGAATTGTCTCAACCAATCCACACAATGAAGTTAGTCTATTACTACCCCCATTTTCAGAGGGGAAAACCAAGGCAGAGAGAGAATAGGAAATATTCTGAGTTTTCAAACCTAGTGAGTGTTGAAAAGGGATTCAGCCCAGAACTCTCTGGCTGTAGACTCTTAGCTACACAGCCCCTGTTCTCTTGAAGCTTCCTGCCCAGTGGGGAAGATGAACATTAATCAAATCATTGCACTGGTGAATGGCTCACAATGAATTACAAAAGGATATAAGAACTAAGAAAAAGGGGCACAAAGTGCCACAAAGACGTAGAACAGGAGGATCTGACCTAGTCTGGAGGCCGGCTGGTTCTTCCTTGATGAAATGACATTTGAATCGAAATGAAAAGAATAAGTAGGAGTTAATTAGGTGGATGTTGGGGACAGGGGGTGTTTTAAACAGCAGGAACAGCATGTGCAAATGCCCTGTGGTGGGAGGCAGCACAGAACACAAGAGGATACGGCAGAACAGTGTGGCTGGAGTGCCAAGAGTGAGAGCAGTAACAAGGAAAGAGGCTGAGACAGGGTGGGGGTCCAGCTATGCACCAATTGAGGAAATAAACTCATAAACGAGTCACTGCACCCAGAGGGCCAAGTATCTAATGGGGGTGTATGTGTGCGGTTAAAGCCCAGGAACAAGGGTGCCTAGGGTATTTAGAAGGGGAGGAAGGCTTCCCACATGAGGCAGGCTCCCGAATGCAGCCCCAGGACACTTGGGAAGCCTCATGCATGTCTCCACATGTCAATCTCCAGGTGGCTGATACAACTCTTCCACAAAAAAATAGAGTCTTCGATCCGAAAGACCATGACCAGCAAGGTAAGACTGACTCAGAGCGGGGGGCGGCGGGGAGGCCTCAGTGTATGCATCACTGGATTCTTTGGCTCTCGCCCCAGAGGACCAGTCCTCTGTGGTCCTCACAATTCTTTGAAACCACAGGTCCAACTTAGAAACCAGTCATGAGGAGTCCAGCAAGAGCCAAGAAAGGGTCCCAGCACACAGCCTCAGCGGACTCGCCCCACTCCTGCTACACCACCCCTGCTCTTCCTCCCACATTCCTCCCTTCAGGCAAACTGCCTTCTGCCTCGCCCTGCCTTTTCTCAAAGTCCTCTGGCCTCTTCCCCCATCCCTGCCACACCCCAAACCCCTTTCTGGGTGCTCCCCACCCGGAAGACGGAAGACGTGCAGTTGAGGAAGCTGGTAGGCTAGAGTGCCAGCAAACCATTCCCTAGGGCTGGGACTGGTACCAACCAGCATTCCCAACCCTGCCCTCACCCTAAATCCACCCAGGCCAGCTTCTTCAGTTGAGAAAAAGGGGCCATTCCTTGCCCTGGTTTTCCATGAACGAACCATTAGCTCCCAGGAATGCCCTGAGCCTGTCTCACAGGCCAAGTGAGTCAAGGGCAACGGGGAGCCATTGAAGATTTTAGGCAAGGGGGTGACCTGGCCAGATCTGTGTTTTAGAGAAATTTCTGGGGTTGCCATGAGAGTGACTGGAGGGGCCAAAAGATGGGGCAGGGCATGTCAGGGAGACTGAGGAAGCTGTATGGTCTTCTGGATGCGAGCCACTGGGTTTCCAGGCGAAGGCACCAACGATGGGGGTAGGGAGACATCAGTCAAATCAGATCATCAGTCTGAAGGCATTCTATCAAAGTCTCAAAACAAAAAAACAGTACGTGGTTGTCACAATGCATAATAACACAGTAGATCACAGAATGGGTTTCAGAGTCAGAATCTCTGGGTTTTAATTCTGGCCCCAGGGCCTAACTAGCTTTGTAACTTTGAGCAAATATCAGAACCTCAGTTTCGCCATCTGCAAAATGGGGACGTTAATACCTCTGGCACCAAGCTGCCGGAAGGATTACTGAGGTAACGCAGGTGGTGTGCTCACCCCCCAGCCTGGTTAACCCATGGTTCAACTGTCTTTGCAATTAAGTAATAGTAAGAGGGGAATGTTAGCATTTAGCACTGGAACTATCAAAAGAGAGTATTTCTTGGTATCACCATAAGAGTGGCCCCCCAAAAGCAGCCAAGCTAAAAAGTATGAATGCACTGCTGTCAGATAGCAATGGTGATGGGGAGAAGGCGCAAGAGGGCACTACGTACATGGGGTGGGCTCGGCACAATGCCTAGAACTCTACAAGGATCCGGCACCTAATCCACACAAAATCCTTATGACCGGTGGCGGGAGTGGGGGGGTGTCATGATTTTCCCCATTTTACAGATGAGTAAACTGAGGCACCGAGGGGGAAGTGATAGTACTGAGGTTCAAACCCAGGCCATCCCACCTCAGAGGTGAAGCTCTTAATCATAATAAGATATTCTTTAGAAGACAGTGCTGGCTTGAGTGGCTGGCTGGCTGGCTGGCTGGATGGGTGGATAAAGGAGATGTCAGGGTATCCATGATAGTAGCAAGAACTGGAAATGAGGAGGAGTGAGCTGGGCAGTTGGCTCCCCAGGAATGCAGAGCGAAGAGTAGGTGTCTGAGGGATGCTCCGTGTGTCTGTAGGGGGGGGCTGGGAGGGAGGGCAGGTAGGATGGAGCATAGAGGGGCTGTAGCAGGAAGATGGGCTCCAGGCTGTGGTGTGATTTGCTGTGGTTTGGAGCCATCTGGTGGCCCTCCTGGGTGAGTGGCCTCGGAAGGCAGTAGCCCAGGTGTTCAGCCGGGCCCTAGCTCCCAGATGTGCTGCCCCCCTCACCCCTGGGCCATGTGGCAGAGGCACAGGCTCCTAGAGGATGATATTCTTGGGGTGTGCAGAGTCACACATCTTGTGTGATAGAAACACTCTAGGAAACCAATGTTCTGTCCTTCCTCCCTCCCTCCTCCCTTCCCTCCCTCCCTCCTTCAAAGAAACATTCAAGGAAAAGAAAACATGTCAGGTTCCTTATTCCCAAAGGACAGTTTCCATTAAGGGCAGCCCTCACTGATCACTTCTTTGGTTCTCTCCAGATCTGCCAGATAGTGACCAGTTCCGTGTCCTCCAAGCTGCAGTCTTATTTAAAGACACTGCGAGGTGAGCCCTGGGTGAGGTCAGGACAGCTGGGGTACAAGAGGCAGGGGGGCTGGGAAACAGGGACCGTGTGCTGGAGCCGGCGAGTTCCCCAAACTGCTGGCTGGGTTCCCTCCCTGCAGACTAGGCTGGGCAGCACATGGTGTGAGCACATCGAGCACGTTTAAGATGCCTTCCGTCCCCAGGCACCGCCCAAGCCCCCCCCCCCCCCCCCCCCCCCCCGCCCCGCCCAGGGATTTGCAGTGTCCAAGGTTTGGCCTCAGCAAGCAGGAAAATGATTTGGGTTGGAGTCCCAGCTCCATCACTCACCCGCTGTGCCGTCTTGGACAAGTTACATTTCTGAGCCTCGTTTCGTCCCTTCTAACATGAGAAGGAAGGGCTTAAGGAGGGACCCATATTTATTTATTTATTTATTTATTTATTTATTTTACTTTAAACTTTTTATTGTTATGTTAGTCACCATACATTACATCGTTAGTTTTGGATGTAGTGTTCCATGATTCATTGTTTGTGCATAACACCCAGTGCTCCATGCAGAACGTGCCCTCTTTAATACCCATCACCAGGCTAACCCATCCCCCCACCCCCCTCCCCTCTAGAACCCTCAGTTTGTTTCTCAGAGTCCATCGTCTCTCATGGTTCATCTCCCCTTCTGATTTCCCCCCCTTCATTCTTCCCCTCCTGCTATCTTCTTCTTCTTTTTTTTCTTAACATATATTGCATTATTTGTTTCAGAGGTACAGATCTGTGATTCAACAGTCTTGCACAATTCACAGTGCTCACCATAGCACATACCCTCCCCAGTGCCTATCACCCAGCCACCCCATCCCTCTCACCCCCCACCACTCCAGCAACCCTCAGTTTGTTTGGGACCCGTATTTATTTAATTCTCCTTGATGACTGCTGAGAAACACAGAAACCATTCGGACCTGAGCCAGCGTGGACTCAGCCTGGGGTATTATCACTGCTAGCAATAGTCCCTTCGGCTTCTGAGCCCTGACCATGCACAGGGAGTCTGTGGGGTCACTGGTATTACTTCGTTCTACCAATGACAAAAAGTGGCTTAGAGACATGAAAGGACTTGTCCAAGATCATAGAGATTTCAATTCAAGCCCTCTGCTCCTTGACCGTATCTTGGGGCTGTTGGAAGAAGGGAAGGAGATGATGTCTGTTTATGTGCGGTGTGGGGTCATTTCCCTCCCTCAGGGAGGGCTCCCTGGAGGAGGTGGGAATGGAGCCCACACTACAGTTCTTGATTCAACTTTGGCTGATGCCGACACTGCATCTCGGGCCCCCAAAATGCTGCTGTGCAGAGCCAGCTCATAGTCCATCTTCCTCCCCTCTAGTGACAACCAAAATAGATAAGGTCGCTGGGATCAATTACTCACTGGTGGCACCTCCGACAGCCACAGCTGACAGCCTGGACGGGCAGCTGAAGGTGAGACTTACACCGAGAGACCCTCAGGCCTTTGTCCTGGACCTTCCTGGGGCTCCTCATCATCCTTATCTCTGCACTTTCTCCCTGCTCCAGACTCACTGGCCTCCCCACTACTCCTGAACCACCCTATGCATGCTCGCTCCCCAGGGCCCTTGCACTTGCTCCTCCTTCTGCCCAGAAGCTCTCACCCAGATATTCACATAAGCTCTCCCTTCCATCTTTCCAGGCTTTACTCAAATCTCCGTCTCCCTAGAGAGACCTTCCCAGACCACACTCACTGAAACAGTTCCCTCCTTTCCCTCCATATCCATTACTTATGACTAACAGCCCCCCAACACGCGCATGCACACACACACATATACACACACACAGTCACACGTCTGTCTCCCTCTGTGATGAAAGAGGAGGGGCTACAGCTGCTTTGTTCCTGACTGCTGGTCAGGAACTCCAGGCGCAGCACCTGGAGCTATGCTCGGTATCTACTTGCTGCTTAGTAAATATTTTGATTGGATGGACAAATGGAGGGAGGGATGGATGGATGGAGGGAGGGATGGGTGGAGCTTCATTTCACACCACTCTCCCTTCGCTCACCACCATCCAGCCAGACACACTGGCCTTGCACTTCCTCAACACACCAAGGTCATTCCCACCTTAGGGGCTTTGTCCTACACCTTCCCTCCCCCTTGAACTGCCTTCCCTCACATGCCCCCCTCTCCCCCACTGGCTTCTTATACTCCAGGTGGGTCTGTGCTTGGATATCACTCCCAGAGCAGCCTTCCCTGACTGCCACAGCTGGAGTAGGTCCCACCCCTGCATTCCCTCTGGATGTCCCTCATTCAGTCCCTCCACAACTAGTGACTGGCTTGTTTGTTACTGTTTACTTGTTTGTTCTCAAACATGTTTGATACAGAAAAGAACATTTAGAAACTACAGAGGAGCAGAGAAATAAATAGGAAAGAAGGAAGGAAGGAAGGAGAGTGAGAGAGATTACCCAAATATTACAACTCAGAGATATACACTATTGACACACAGATTAGATCCCCCCAACTTTGTCTCAACCAGGACACAGGAAAACATACACACACACACGCGCGCGTGTGCGCGCGTACACATAAAAAAAACCCACATATAAGACATAGGAATACACACATACATGTATTTACATGAGTCTTGTTATACATACTGTCTCACAAGTTTTCCAAATGGAACAGCGTAGCATGAACATCTTTCCATGAATCGTCCTCCTACAGCCCTTTTACTGGCTGTTGGGTCTTTCTGGTGGACACTTGTGATAAGGTTTGTGGACAGTGCCGCCTTCTGGGACATTGGGCTCTGTCCATTTTCTCCAAACATGTAACCAGAGCTGCCATGAACATCCTTGTCTCTGGATCTCTGCCCATCCTTGACTATTTCCTAGAAGTGGCATTGCTGGACCAAATAGTAGACTTTAAAAAAATCTAAGTGATACAATGGAATAAAGGATTAAAATGATACATAGTTATTTTTAGTGAATGAGGATGTCCCGTTTACTGGCCGCCCCAGGCTCCTGCCCAGAGGTTTAAGGCTGTGAGCCATGGCGTGCGTTAACCTCCCGGCTCCCTGGTTCGAAGCATGCACATACACACAAGGGCAAACCCATCTGGTTTTGCTGGTGATCCATTTTCATGAATGGATACGCTCTAGTCTTTCACTTGCTTTTCTCGCCTAAAGATATGCATTGCAGTTGGCTCCTGGTTGGCACACGGACTTATCATTTTTAAGAGTTGTGTGGTATTCTGTAAGATGGGTGTCATGGTGTTTAATTTTTAATAATGAGATGATTCAAAGGTACAGAGAACCCACCACCCAGATTTAAGAAATGTTACCATTTTGTCATATTTGCCTTTGTTTTTTTTTAAGATGAAACATTCTAAAAATAAATCGCTGAGGCCACTTGGGGCCCCCTCTACCCCTGAGGGAATCACAGATATGATGCTGGTTTGTCTCCTTCTAATTTGTGTTCTTATACTTTTACTACATATCTATGTGTGTCAATAATTCTTGCTTAGTATGTTTTATATGCCTTTAAATTTTACATAAATGGTATTCTACCATATGTATCCATCTACAATTTGCTTTTTTATAACTCAACATTGTTCTTTCCTAGCTATCTGCTTTTGCAGCCATTGCCAAATTGCTCTTCAGAAACTTATTAAACATAGACTCCCCAGCAGCATATGAACACTCACGAAAACTGGATAGTGTGAGTTTGAAATACATGTGCACTTAAAACAGTTTACCTCTCTCTTCAAAATTTTGCTAATTTGACAGACGAAAACAAACAAACAGAATCTCATTGTTCTTTCGGTGTAATTTCTGTACTCATTGGCAAGGCCAAAGCCAAAGCCAATGGCGCAACTGGGAGTATGCCAGGTGGTTGGGAGTGTTGCCCGAGTGACCTTGGGCACGTCACTTCAGCTCCCTGTGCCTCAGTGTCCTCTCCTGAAAAATGAGCATCATCATACCTGCCTTGCAGGATTGGCAAGAAAAGCCCCTAGAAACTAGCCCCCTGGAGGCACAGGATACTATTGTTGGTTTCTGGTCATGACTTCCTCCTCTGTGAGTGCATGATTGGTTTCCTCAACCCATTTTCTCCCGGGATGAAGACATTGAGTTATAATTCCTGAAGGAAGCCCAGGCTCACCCTGTCTCCTCCGCCCCCAGGGAGAGTTTTTCAGTGTGGCACACCCTGGCCCCTTTCCCTTCACCTCGCCACCGCTGGCCTTTCCCAACGACCATGACCGTATGGTGTACCTGGGCATCTCCGACTACTTCTTCAACACAGCGGGGTTCGTGTACCAACAGGCAGGGGTCCTACACCTGACCATCACGGACGACATGGTAAGGCCGGGCTGGGGGTGGATGCAGGATGAGTGTGGGGCTCAGAGCCCAGCAGACCATCTGGACTCGAACCTGTGTTCACACGGCAGGGGGATCATAGTCCAGCCTCTAGAGGCAGCCAGACCTGACTTGGAATATCGGCCCCCCCTTTCCTAACTGGGTGACCTTAGGCCAGGCATTCAAGCTCTCAGAACCTGTTGCCTCACCTGTAAAACACCAATACCAGTATCTCTCTCCCAAGCGTGTGAGAGGGTAGAATGAGATATGAATGCACGAGAAGCACTCAGCACATGCTGAGCAGGTAGGAAATCCTCAGTGAGGGATGAAGGTTGCAGCCAACACTGCCCGAGTACTTGCCCCAAATCCAGTGTTTTGTTTTGTTTTGTTTTTTAAGATTTTACTGAGACACAGCGAGAGAGGGAACACAAGCAGGGGGAGTGGGAGAGGGAGAAGCAGGCCTCCCGCTGAATAGGGAGCCCGATGTGGGGCTCGATCCCAGGACCCTGGGATCATGACCTGAGACGAAGGCAGATGCTTAACCGACTGAGCCACCCAGGTGCCCCTGCCCCAATCCAGTCTTAGCCTCACATCGCCATTATCATCATCGTCAGTGTCTCTATTGATATACTCGTGGCTGAGTCCTGTTCTGGGCCTCAGTTTACCCACCTTCTCCAGAGTCCAGATGCAGCCTGGTCAGCAACCATATGGGGTTCCACCCACACTGCCCCTGGAAGAGGATGTAGGGGCACCAAAAGGATGCTGAGCCCCCACATGTCCCCTGGAAATAAACAAAGGCCACCAGAATGAGAACTCTTCGGGGCAAGAGAGTCAGCCACCCACACCTGCATTTGGCAGAGACGAATGCACGCAGAGGAGGGGGGATTGATGTCTTTATATCTTTACAACTATGTTCCCGTAGAGGTTTTGAGCACGGGCAAGCTGGACGTGAGCTAATAGAAGCTGGGCATCCTATGTAATTGGTGTGAAGAGCATATTTGAGTTTTTTAGGGCAAAAAAATAGGGAAGCTGGCAGCGACTGAACGTATCCTGACTGTTCTGGGCTGATGGCTGCAGAAGTTGTGGGTCAGCGTTGTTGTCATGGATGGCCTGGCCATTGTCTGTGCATTCAGTCTCTCACCCCTCATATGGAATTTGTCCCCCTCTCCAATCTATAACATAATCCTCCAAGACACTTTTCTCTTCTTCCCTTGCTACAGATACCAAAGAAATCCAAATTCCGACTGACAACCACATTTCTTGGAACCCTCATACCCGAGGTAAGAAGGAGGCTGCTCCCTTTTGTCCCCTCATGAGGAAAGCCCCCCCTCCAGACCCAGAGGCAACCCAGCTTGAGAGTGGAAACAGCCTTGTGCAGCCCCTCCCCCATGCAGAGAGAGGCTCCAAGCAGCCAGGCGACCAGACGTGAGGGTAGACGCTGGGGGCTTATCCACTTAATGAACATTTATCGAGTGCTTACCGTGTGGCCAGGGCTCTGCTCTTGGCATCTAGCAAAGCAGACCGTATCCCTGCCCTCCTGGGGCCCCAGTCCAGTGAAGAGAGAAAATTGCCCTTCAGGCACCCAAAACAATTAAAAAGAAGGTGCTCCCCATGACACGTGAAGCCCATGGATGGATGAGGTCGCTTCGGACAAAAGCCTCAGTCCGCTCGGGCTGCCATAACAAAGTGCCACAGGCATGGGGCCCCCACAACAGGAATGTATTTCTTATGGTTCTGGTGGCCGAGAAGTCCAAGGTCAAGGTACCCACAGATCTGGGTTTGGGTGAGGGCCTCTTCCTGGTTATTAGATGGCTACTTTCTTGCTGTGTCCTCACATGGCCGTTCCTCTGAGCTCATAGAGAGAGAGAGCAAGCACGCTCTGGTGTTTCTCCTTATGAGGACAGTGATCCTATTGGATCAGGGCCCCACCCCTATGACCTTATTTAACCTTAATTACTTCCTTAGTGCCTCGTCTCCAGCTACAGCTGTACTGGGGGTGAGAGCTTCAATACATGAGTGTGGGGGACACAAACATTCAATCCATAACAGCCTCTCCGGTGGTGGCACTTCTGGAAGTTTCTATACAGGGGGTACTGGTGTGGGGAGGCATGACTGGTAGGGGGATCAGGGGAATCTTCTTGAAGCTTTATGGCCTAACAATCACATTGTTTTTCTGAGACCGAGAGTCTACCTGGTGGTGGCGGGGGAGGGGACTGGAGGCTAGAAGAGATTGGGTTGTCACCAAAGCCCTCCTCAGTTCCCCCAGGAGGCCACCACTGCTCTGTGAAGAGGTGACATTTGAGCTGATCCCTAAAGAAAGGGAGAGAGCCAAGCTGGGAAAGAATGGGGGTGGAAGCATTCAGTGAGAGGAGCAGAGAGTGCAAAGGGTGTTAGATGGGAACAGAGTGGGTCGTATGTTTGGGGAACAGAAAGGAGTCCCATGTGGCTGGAGCTGGAGAGCAAGGAGTAGAGGCCTGTGGGGGGAAGCTGCAGGCACCGAGTCCCACTGAGTGAAGTCTTTACGATTTAGTCAAGAAGCAACAGGAATACATTGGAGGTGTTCATGCAGGGTCAAGACAAGATGGGATTTAGAAACAGCTGAATAAAACTGTCACTTTGTTGGTTGTCCCCACTGGGGGCTGCAGGTGGCCAAGATGTTCCCCAACATGATGGTGCAGCTCAACATCTCAGCTTTGTCCCCACCGCACATCACCGTGCTCCCCACCGGCCTCGTCTTCACCCCTGCCCTGGAGATCCAGGCCTTTGCTGTTCTCCCGAACGCCTCCTTGGCTTCCCTCTTCGTGCTTCACCTGGTAAGCTCTTCCCAGGTGTGGGCAGATGAGGGCACTGCCCTCGGAGTTGGGGGACCAGGGTGAACCATGCCTAGATTCAGATGCTCCAGGACCTGAGACCAGAGCCGCTGTACTAACTGCTTCTGGCTTCTGCAGGCGTTCATGGCTTCAGTTCTTCCCTCCATCACTGGCTTGAAATATGTGTCCTGTTTCAAGTTCATTCACTCATATCTTTGGTCATTCAATTATGCATTTGTGAACTTGTTCATTCATTCAATTATTCATTACGTTGCTAACTTGAAATATGCTAGACCTGTTCTGGTTCATGCACACATTAATTTATTCCATTATTCATTTATTCATTCACTTATACCTTTGTTCAATTAGTCATTTGTATATTTGTTTGTTCACTCATTCATCACTTATTTATGCATATCTTTGTTTATTCCTTCATTTGTGTGTGTAATCCTTCGTTTATGCAAGTGTTTGGCCCATTGCTGATTTTTGCATTCATTCATCTGCTCACGCTGTCACTCCGTGAACATTTGGTGGCACCCACTGTGGCCACGGAGGTGAAGGCCAGACTCTCTCCCCACCAGGGGAGCACTCACAGGCCTCAGGCAGGTCTGCCATCTCTCAAGTTCAGACCCATTTTCCCCACTTGGTCAATTAAGTGGGTTCTGAGGGGTCTGCCCCAGATCATGCAGACAGTGGGCAGGAAAGTTGAGGTGGGGAGCTCAGTTTTCTGATTCAGTAAATATTTGTTGATTGAATGAATGAATGAATGGCTTGAATGAATGAATGGCTGGCCTGGACTCCAGCCCTGAGGTCAGTTTCGCCCAGCCCGTGCAAGTGGCCTGGAAACCTGAAATTTTCCCTAGGGCAGTGGGAGAAAATGGTAATTAGGGGACAGCCCAGGACTCACCAACAAGCACAAAGCAAAGGAAGAGCCCCTCCTCCTTGGTTTCCGTGTGGGCTCCTCTGCCAAGCCTTTGTGAAGCTGACCCTCCCATCTTGGAGACCTTGCCAAGGCCTCGGCCCCTGGCTCAGGGGATTTCACTCTTTGGATTGCTGCCTTGCAGAACACGAATGTTTCGATGGAGGTCAGCGCCTCGGCTGACAGGCTTGTCGGAAAGCTCAGCGTGGACGGGTAAGTGGCCACCCACCCACTCTTGGGGCCCATGGGCCAGCAATGGCCCCACAACACACCAAGCTCCATGTCGTTGCTCTCCTGTTCATCCATCACATTTAAGCCTCAGACGGTGTGCGGTGGGCACCAAAGCCCTGCTCTGCAGATAGTAAATCTGATGCTCGGAGATGAAGTGGCCCACCCAAGGTCATACACCGTAGGTGACCAGTCATCATGGTTTGCCTGCAGTCTCCCAGTGTTAGCACAGAAGGTCCTGCACCCCGGGATGCCCCTCGGTCCTGGGCAGACTCATGGCTGTGCGGGGCCAGAAGGTGATTCTACTCAGCGCTGACCCTCAGCAGCGCCCAGCCACCTCTGTCCCTGGCCTGCCTCAGCACGTGGAAAACCCACATCCTTTTCTTCACAGACCATCCGGGGGCCGTGCTCAGCCGCCTCGTGCTGGGAGAGCCCCAACAGCGGCGGCTGTGGTTAGGCATAAGGACTCTGGGGTGGAGGCTACCTGCATGCAAAGCGCAGCAGCCCCCGTCGGCGAACACTCTACCCAGCAAACTTCCATTGCCCTGGCTTCGAAAGAAGCCCGATGATGTAACAGAAACATGCCCGATGGTTGTTCCTTGCCAAGAGCGTTGTAGTGAGGATGAAATGAGGTATTAACATGTCTTGAAGTGTGGAGAACACAAGGGACATAAGGACTCAACAAGCAAGAGCAAGAGAGGGACACACAGAAAAGAGAAAGACAGCAATGGGGGGAGAGACAGGAAAAGTCAGAGACGCATGGAGAGACTCTCAGAGAGAGACACACACAAAGGGAGGAAGGGAGGGGAGAGACAGAGAATGAGAGCAAGAGAGACTGACAGATGGAGAGGCAGACACAGAAGGGGGAGGGAGAGGGAAGGACACACACAGAGGAGGAGAAAGGGAGACCCTCGCGAGTCAATGCGATGACCCCAATGGTTAGACCTGCTGTCTGCCTCTGAATCATGCTCACGCTGTTTAAATTGAGTCTTGACCTACATTCCTGCCCACTTCCGCCTTCTCTGCAGCACAGAGCTGTCCTTCTTAACCTCGAGACTGGCTCCTGAGGTTTACACGCTGCTTATTTCTCCTGGCATCATTCTGACAAGTGTTACTGCTTCGGATACATGTGGATTTAATTTCCCTTGAACACCCATGAGCCTCTCAAGTAGAGGAGTCAGAGAGGATACAGCTGGGTGAGGGCTGAGCAGATGCTCAAATGTGCAGGGGTGGGGTGTGAGAGTCCACAGAGCAGGAGTCCTGGGGCTCCCACCTCTTGATGAACAAGGGTGAGCTTTCAAGCTTTGTAGGGTATTGGAGACAAGAGCTCAGGCATCAGGAGATCTGTTGAAATTCTACTTTGCTAATTGTTCATTGTATGACCTTGGGCAAGTTGTCTGATATCTCTGAGTGTCAGTTTCCTTATCTGTAAAATGTGAGTGATGGCCCTTGCCTCTGAGGGTGTTATAGGATTTCCGTGGGGTAAAGCACACAACATAGTGAATGATAGGGTTCAATAAGCAGTCATTTAAATCCCCCTTTTCCTTAGATCACTGTTAAAATGCCATAAAGACAGTAAAGAGGGGATAGTTTATTGGCTCCGGTAATTGAAAAGTGTAAGGGTTTCAGGCAAGTGTGGATCCAGGTGTTCAAATGATGTCCTTAGGATTCTGACTCTCTCCATTTCTTGGTTCTACTATCTCCTATGCTGGCTTCATTTCTCAGCAGGCTGTCACCAAGTGGTGACAAAAATGGTCACCAGCAGCTCCCTAGTTTTCCTGGAGAAAAGAGAACACCTCATTCCCGGTATTTCCAAAAGTCCTTGGGGCCAACTCTCATTGAACCAGCATGGGTCACGGGTCCATCCTTCCAACAATCACTGTGTTAGGGGAGGTGGACTCTGCCCTTTGGCCAGCCTACCCCAGAGCTCAGCACTAACAATGTAGGGAATGGGTGGTGCCCGCAAAGGAACAATTAGGGAGCTGTGACCAGAGGAAGGGGAATGGATACTGGGTGGGAAAACCAGGCGGCATCCACCAGAGAGGGCCCCTTCTCCCCAGCAACCAGACTCTAACACAGGTCAGGCAAAAGGTGATCTCAGCTTCCTCCTCCTCTTCACACAGGCTGCTCCTAGAACTGAAGCACTCGGACGTCGGCCCCTTCCCGGTGAGTCTGAGGTCCTTGGTGGCTCCCTCCTTCCGCCGATCTTGAGATAACTGTCCTGAGGGCCACAAAGGCTCCTGGCATCATTTTCGGAGGGCTCCTGTTCATTTGCATATAATTTGCATGTGAAGTAATGGCCAGAGGAGTTTTGTGGGCCCACAGACCTAAGCTAGAATCACTGCTCCATGCTTGCTAACTGTGGGCCTTGGACAAGTCACTTCCCCTCTCCGAACCTCAAACCTTCCCCCAAATCAGGCATAATCCTTTCCACCTACATGAAAAACCAAATGAGGGTGGGGTAGCACGTGATGGGGAGGCACACAACATAGTGAATGATAGGGTTCAAAAAGTAGCCATTTATTTCCCCCTTTCTCTTAGATCACTCTTAAAATGCCATAAAGACAGTAATGAGGGGATAGTTTATTGGCTCTGGTATTGAAAAGTGTAAGGGTTTCGGGCAAGGGTGGATCCAGGTGTTCAGATGATGTCCTTAGGATTCTGACTCTCTCCATTTCTTGGTTCTACTATCTCCTATGCTGTCTTCATTTCTCAGCAGGCTGTCACCAAGTGGTGACAAAAAGCTCTTACGGTGCCCGAGCTCTTACAGTGGCTTGACTCAGCCAGTAACTAACTTCCGTTTCTGCAGAAAATAAAAATTTAAAGTTCTCAGATTCATAGAAAGAAGGGCACCACATTTCATGAGCCCAGGGATTTAGAGCCTGGGGAAGGAAACTCAGTTGTTCCAGAAAAAAAAATGTACATATTTACAAGTTGTAAATGTCACCAGGCAATCATCTTGAGGGTGCTACATTATTTTTGAATATTTTTTTACTATTGCAAAAGTAAAATACCTACATTCTAGAATAATCAGAACCTACAGATTTGCAAACCAAAGAGAATAAAAGCCATTCCTATTTTTGCCACTTAGTTAATCATTTAGAGTATATCCTTCCTGACCTTTTGCTATGCATATTCAATAGGACAGTGGAATTATGTGGTTTCCATAGCCTGCTTTTCCTCACTCAAAAATATATCATGAATATCTCTGTGTGGATAATTAAATTCCTACAATATTATTCTTAACAGTTGCATCATATTTCCTAGAATCAAAGCGCCACCATGTCCCCCAGATAATTCCCCAATTGTTAGACATGTAGGTTGCTGTTAATTTACTGTTTTGGTTGAATTTATGGCTCTGGTGAGCATCCTTGCATCTTAATTTTTACCTGCGCCCTACATCGTTTCCTTAGGCTGAATGCCTTACAAGCATATTTGCTGGCCTACCAGGCGCACACATTTTTTTTTTTTAATTGGAAATAGAGACGGAGAGAGAGAGAGAGAGCAGGGGGAGGAGCAGAGGGACAAGCAGACTCCCTTGAGTGCGGAGCCCGGTGTGGGGCTCGCCGCAGGGCTTGATCCCAGGACCCTGAGATCATGACCTGAGCTGAAGTCAGATGCTTAACCGGCTGAGCCACCCAGGCACCCCCAGGCACACACATTTTTAAGGCTTTTGCTGAACATGGCCGAATAGAACCTCAGAAAGCTTGAGCCAGTTTGTCCGGCAGCAGCATCTGAGACCATGCATTTTCTCACTCAAAGGTTTTCATGTCTAAATACACTGATGACCTTCCCTTCCTCTGCCTCGTACCTTACATCTAGAACGTGCTTTACAGCTGGAACCTGGGACACCGGGTCTAACACTTGGGGGCCCTGATTGGGCTGCAGAATTTTCCCGTCATCCCCTGTGTCCCTCACTCAGCAGTTTTCCCAGCTTTGAGGTTGCCCCGAGGGAAAGGGAGGCTGGCAGAGGATGCCTGATGACACCAAGGTGCCCTGACGTGGGCCCCGTCCTCCTGATTTCCAGGTTGTGGTGCTGCAAGCTATCATGAATTATGTTCTGTCCACGACTGTGATTCCCAGGATTAACGGTAAGGAGCTTTGGAGAATGAGTGACTTTTAGTCCTAGGGGAAGCAGGTGGGGCTCAATCCTAGAGTCACCTAATACCGGGCCCAAGTTATGAAGGCTGGAAGGTGGTCACGTCAAATGAACCTTCGGTGGCATCTGACCCGGAAAAGGGATGGAGAAAAGGGGCCGCCCTCACCTTGAGCTCCTATTATGTGCCCATCTATTATTCCATCCAATCTTTAAGACAGCCCCAGGAGATGAGGGTTTTCAGGGGAGGAAATGGGAGATCCGAGAAGTCAGGTGGCTTGCTGCAGGTCACAGAGAAGGTGAGAGATGAAGCCGGAGCCCGCAGCATTTTTCCCACCTCTGAGAGAAGCTCCGGGGAAGAAGGGCTAACGTTGGCTCCGGGCTTCCGCTCACCACACTGATAAGAACCTCACCTTTGTGGAGTGCTCAGAGAGGCCCACAGACGGCGGGCCAGAATAGTCAGAAATTATAAATCAAGACACAAATGAGTCTCAAGACTACGACGTCTCTTCCTACCTTGACAAATGTAGCTTCGAAATGACCTGGGAGAAGGGGGTTGAGTTTAGAATTCTCTGGAGTTCTGTGTCAGAATACGGTGGTATGGGGTGGGGGGAGCTGGTCCCTGGCTACTCTGGTTTCACCCTAAACATTGAGGGTCTTCGTGCGCACGCCAGTAGATACCCCCAGTCCCATGCCCCAGGCTATCTACCCCCCACCCCTGCAAGCAGCCTCCCCGGCCGTGTACATCAGCACTGCAGCCACCCTCGGGAGAGTAGACTTGGGGAAGAGGCTTGCACGGGTCCTGAATGTGGGCTTGGGGCTGATGGGGCGGGAAGGCCAATTTCCCAGGTCCCTGAAGCGTGGCGAAGAGTCAGAGTCTCCAGAACAGCCTACACTTCAAGCCTGCAAGCACCTGCCGATCCCTACCCAGAGCCAGGCACGCAGGCTCAAGGAGGCCGCCCCCCTCACCCGGCTCTCGGGCTGGCCTCCGCCTTCCCTCCCCTCGCGCTGACCTCATCCTCCATTGCAGAGTGGCTGATGAAAGGCTTCCCTCTCCCGCTGCCCGCCAACGTCCAGCTCTTCAACCTGGTGCTTCAGTCCCACCAGGTAGGTCCAAAGGTCCCTTTTCACCCAATGTCCCTCAACAACAGCAACCTGTTTCCAGAAAGCTTCCTGTGGGCAAGCCCTGGATCAAGCACTCTCTACCCTTACAGCACCCTGTAAGGTGGGCGGCTCTTAATGAACAGGGAAGAAAGAGTCAGGCTCAGAAAAGCCACACAGCTCTTCAGGCAAGTCCAAATTCACAGCCAGGTCCCTGCTTTGAACCACTGGCTCTGAAGCATCCCGCCCTCTCCCTGCTCCGTAAAAACTGGAGCTCGCTTGGTGGCCTCAGAGCCTCTTTTATAAGTGGATGTCTTCACGTCTTTGATGTAAAGTGGCATGCCTCCCAGGGGGTAAAAAGAGAGGCACCAAGTGGAGACCTATGTCCCAGAATGGACGACCTTCTCTTGCCTGTCCCCCAGCCAGACCCACAGCAGCCTCTGAGACTAGTTAGGAATGCTTTCTTCTCCTAGCTTGGAATGTTCCCTTTCCTGGTTTTCCAGCTACCTCTCGCTGGCTCGATGCTTCTTCCTCCTCCCTCCTTCCCCTTCCTCCCCCCTCTCCCCCCTCCTCCTTCTTCCTCTCCCTTCCTCCTCCTACCCGCAGAAGCTCTCCAGGATTCCCGCCCAGGCCTCTGTCCTTCCCCACGGTGAGCTTTCCCTGCTGGCTTCCATCAGCTCAGGTTAACAGCCATCTTGGTACCACCCAGAGATGCAGACATGCTTCCAGTTTTTTCTCTGCTCCCTCTACCCTGAGGCCTTTTAGCCCAGTCAGTGTGTCCCAACAAAACTGGTAACTGGGCCACGAAGCTGCCACCCACTACTGCTTCCTTACCTTACCTTGCTCAGCGGCTCTCCTGTTAACCTTGTGGCCCTTGTGGGAAGCGGCCACATCACCCGGACTCCCTGCTCTCTCTCAGCCCCAGTATCCAGTCAGCCAGCCCCCAGGCCTTCAGCTGAGGCCGTAGACTAGCTGAGAAAGCACGCGCGCACACACACACACACACACACACACACACACAGAGCCCCCCCGCCATCCCCCACGTTTTACCAAGTTCGTCCTTGACAACCCCAACAACAACAAAAAAGACCCCATGGCACAATGCAATTTCTTCATTTTTGAAAATTCTGAGTGAAGGGCAGGAAGGAGCAAAGAAAAGTGGTTTCGCAGCCTTGATGGGAACAAGGCTCCCTTGAGCTGCCATGAGGCAGGGATGACAAATGAAGCCCCCCCCCACCCCCGCAGCCCATGGCCTCCCACATCTGCAGCATCACGATGCCGCCAGCCACTGACACGCAGGCCCCAGCAGCTACATCCCGAGTGCCTCCCACTCACCCTGGCCTCTGTGCCCGTAGACAGGCCCCACTCGGCTCCCCTTCCCGGGGTGGGGGGGGCAGGCTGCTCCCAAAGTTTCCTTTGAAACCCAGCAGCATGTTGCTCAGAGACCAGGGTGCACCCCCTGCTGATGACGGCGCTCTCATCTCTCCCTAGAATTTCCTGCTGTTTGGTGCAGATGTTCACTACAGCTGAAGTCGTCATGGGTGCCGGGGGGGCCATCAGCCCTGCCAGGAGGGGGCGGGGTTGTTGGCACCCACTCCTGATGTGCCCGTAGGGGCACAGGCTGCTTTCCCCAGCCCTTGAACCAGAGATTCTTGCGAATTTCTCTGAACTCAGATTCGGAAATGATCTAAATACAGAAACTTCGTTCCTTGAGAAAGTGTGCGGTGTGTACTTCAGGGATTATGCCTTTTCCTGCAAGGGCTAAGTCTGCACAGAGATTTCCTCCAAGAGTTGCTTTCCAGTTGTTACCACACTATTTCTCATCGCGCTTCATACCCCACCCTCTGCAAAAAAAAACACTTCTTTTTCTGTGCAGTTCTGTGTGATGGTATTATTTCTTGGTTTTTGCTCATTCTTTCATTCATTGGCTGCACCCAGCATGCTCTGCAGCACCAATTCCCAGACACAATCACCTCTTTCCATTCCTCTGATTAATCTCTTGAGCCCCCACACGCCCTTCTTAGCAGAAAGTCTCATGTCCCTTTCTTCCTTTCTTTTTCTTAGATTTATTTATTTATTTGAGAAGGAGAGAGCAGGGGGAGGGACAGAGGGGGAGGAAGAGGGAAACCCAAGCGGACTCCCCACTGAGCACGAAGCCCTCCCCGGGGCCGTGTCTCAGAAACCTGAGATCAGACCTGAGAGGAAACCAAGAGTCCCACGCTCAACTGACTGCACCACCCAGGCGCCCCTCTTTGTCCCCTCTGAAGACACGCCTCATTCCACACTTGTGTCCGACTTGGACACAATCCAAGTCGCAATTCTGAAAGACCCATCTGGTTGGGGTGGGGAGCCTCACTGCTAAGTGTGGGACCCAGCCCTGCCCTCCCCTACCCTCACTTCCTCTCCCGCCATCCTCTTTGGGGGTAGTTGGCCCCTCCAACACTGACCCTCTACTTCCCAAACATTCAGGCAGCCCCTGCCCTACTCTCTACAGAAAAAAAAAATGTCATTATTTCTTGGACCTAAAGACTAGTGAATGGAACACACTGTGCCCCGTGGACAGCTCTCTGATGGGGGAAATAGGCAGTCGCTTTGGGGCATGATTTGCGGAGAATTCCCCACCACGCTCCAAATGATCGGCCATGCTGCCAACGAAACCACTCTGAGCAACTTCTCCCTCCAGGCTAAGCATCGCCAGCTCCAAATGATTGCTAGCGTATGGGCTTTCTTTTGGGGCTGTTGAAACTGTTCTAAAATTAGCTGGTGGTGATGGGGGCACAACTCTCTGAATACACTAAAAACCCCTGAACCTTGCGTGCACGTGAATGGTGAACGTGAAAATATGTGAACGTGAACGTGAAAAATATGTGAAAAATATGTCCATAAAGCTGTCAAAAAAAAAAAAATCGCCACTCCAGTCTGCCTGAAAGCTCACCATTCAAGCAGCTTCCCTTCTGGGTTAGGCATTGCCTTTGGGGGTTTCTTTTGGAAATGCTGACTTGTTAAATAGGCAGGAGGTGTTCCCTACTGGGGGAGAGAATAGGAAGCAGGTCCCAAGGAGACCAACCACTACATTTGCCATTTTGCCACATCCCACTGGTGGCCATGTGTGGCCCATGTCTTCACACTTATTATCTCATGTCATCCTCATGGCCAGTTCCAAAGGTAGACAGTTGAGGAGGGGGGAGTCTGAGGTTTGAACAGGCTATGTGGCCCACCCAAGGTCACTGAGCTCAGGGCCTGGTTTCAAAGGCCAGCCCAGCCCCTAGTGGGCTGCACAGCTTTCCAAATGTTACTTAACCTCTCTGATCCTTCTCTGAAAAGTAGAGATAAAACCTTGCCCTCCTCTTTGGTGTGAGCTTTTTGGGAGGAATCAGTGGTACAGTTAGTTAGTAAGCTCGTGACTTGGTGGTTAAGAGCATGAGCTATGGCCCCAGACACGGTGGTTTCAAATCCCAGCTCTGCTATTTACTAGCTATGTGACCTTGGGCAATTAGCTGGCCTTCAATCCCCAACGTGGGATCCATACTCATGACTCTGAGATCAAGACCTGAGCTGATATGCTTAACTGACTGAGCCACCCAGGTGCCCCAATAAATACTTATTTTTTTAAATGATCTAGGATTTGAATCCCCAACTGTGTGACTCAAAGCCACTATGTCATGATTTTCAAAGTGTGATCTGGGCCTGCCTGCCTTGACAGGCCTACCCCCAAGAAGCCAACCACCGGCTGGCCAGAAATCTGAGTTCCATGATGAACTCATGGTGTGACCCGTCCTTCCCCCTCTCTCGGTCTCAATCTCCCCATCTGTAAAAGCAAGGGCCCTCTGGAATTCCCAGAAAGGAATCCAATAAAGGCAGCTCTGGCAAAGAGTAAAAGAATCTTTCCTTGCTGAGAAATTTTCATTTTAACAGAAGCTCCTTAGGGTCCCCCAAAGCTATCAAGACCCAGCAAGATGAGGCTATGGCTGGGATTTTAGATGCTGCCAATAGCAGAGGCCAAGAGAGGGTGGAGGGAAACGTGGGAGGGTCCTCAAATTCCTCAGAGCTCCCCTGGGGAGAGGGGCTGTGAATCCAGCAGTACGAGTAGGTGACACAGTTTTCAAACCCCACTGGATCATCGCTGACAGTACTATTTTCTTCTGTAAATCCGAACGCACAGATCTGCAGGTGATGGGGCTGGAACAGGAGGCTGCCATAAATGTCAAACTCTCAACCCCAAGAGTACCCCACAGAGATCCAGAAAGGCAGGTCTTCATAACATCAGTCTCTCTCAGCTAGAGCCGACGTTCTCAGGCATGTGAGCCCTGTCATAGAAAACTGCATGAAAACAGGAATGAACAGAGTAATAGAATCGCTGAGCCTGGAAGGAAATCGGAGTTCATTTTAGTCCCTTGTTCTCAAAACACGGTCCAAGATGGGCACCACCTGGGAGCTTGTTAGAAATGCAGAGTCTCAGGGGCACCTCAGTCCATAGAGCATGCGACGCTTGATCTGGGGGTGGTGAGTTCGAGCCCCACCTGGCACGTAGAGATGACTTGAAAAAAATAAAAAATAAAAACAAAAAAAAGAAATGCAAAGTCTCAGGCCCTAGAGGAACCTGATGAATCAGAATTGCATTTAGCAAGATCCCTGGTATATATACACCACAACTTTTCTATCATTCGTCTGTTGATGAATAGATTGATTCCATGTCTTGGCTACTGTGAATAATGCTGCAATAAACATGAGGGTCTCGTTGAGATCCAATTTCCATCTCCTTTGAATCTGTACCCAGAAGTGGGATTGCTGGATCATAGGTTAGTTCTATTTTTAATTTTTTCAGGATCCTTCATTCAGTCTTCCACAATTAGAAAAGGTTAGTTGCGCCAATTTACATTCTGACCAACAGTGCACAAGGGTTCCTTTATCTCTACACCCAAAAGTTACACACGCACACACACACACACCCCCCACAGTGGAATATTATTCAGCCATGAGAGAGGAGGAGGGCCTGCCATTTGCCACAACATGGATGGAACTTGAGGGCATTATCCTAGGTGAAATAAGTCAGACAGAGAAAGACAAATACTATATGGTCTTACTTATATGTGGAATCTAAAAAAGCCAAACTCATAAAAACAGGGAGTAGAATGGTTGTTACCAGAGGCTGGGGTGGGTGAATCCGGGAGATGTTATTTAAGGAGACAAACTTGGAACAAGTAGATAAGTCTTGGAGATCCAATGTGCAGCATAGAGATTAAAAACAGCAATTCTGTATCATAAACTTCAAAGTTGCTAAGAGACTAGATCTTAATTGTTCCCATCACAAAAAAAAAAATTACATGACCTGATAGAGACGCCACCTAACTCCAGAGTGGTAATCATATTGCAAAATATTAATGTATCAGATCAACACATTGTACACCTTAAATTTGTATGCCAATTATATCCCAAAAATAAATTTACAAAAAAATAAACAAGATTCCCCGGATGATTTGAGAAATGCTGTCATGGTCTAACACCTTTATCTGCATTGGCGGGCAAGGAAAGTGAGGATCAGAGGGGTGTGGTTTGTCCCATGTCACACAGCCTGTCAGGAGCAAAGTCTAGACAAGGACCTGGGCTTCTTTGCTACTAGTCCTTCCTATTTCATCGCTCTGTGTTTTGGCACATTCTGCTCCCTCCTCCTGGACTGCCCTCTGCTCTCCCCTCTGCAAAATGTCGATGTGACCTTCAGGATGCAGCAGGATGCTACCTCTCTACAAAGTCTTCCTCTCGGTGGCCCCCAGAAACTCCTTTGGTGGCAGAGCATGGGTTGCTGTGTATTTATAGTACTGTCTTTTGTAGCCTACTGTCCCCACAAGAGACCTGTACAGACTTCGGCAAAGAATTCAAAGCTTTCCAGAAGAGGAAGGCATTTGCTGCAAAAGATCAGTGAGCACAGGAGAAAAGTTCGGTGTACTAATTGTGTCCATCAAGGTCCAGGCAGGAAAAGAGAGCCCATCTCAGTTGGTTCTTGGGATTCGAATTAAGGGGCTATTTATAGAGGTGGGAGACAAGCTTAAGGACACCGGCAGAAGATGCTAAGGGACCCAGGAACTAGCGTCCCTAGTTTCTGCCTTAAAGCAGCAAAGACAGGAGTCCGGTGTCCAAGCCCAGGGAGGGATGGAGCCACGGGTGAGGGGTTTGGGGGAGTGACACAGCCACTGTCAGACTGAGATGCAAAGCATGGAGAGAGCTGAGACGTGCCCTGTTCCCTCTCTCTTCCAGACCTCTGACTTCCCGTCCTACTGCCCTTTGGCTGAGCCCAACTGTAGATGAGGAAATTGAGTCACAGAGTGCCCAAGGTCACACAGTGGGCAAGTCAGGATTCAACGCAGGCCAGGTGGTCCCAGAGTCCATGCCCTTAACCTCACACTGTTTCCTGCTTTATGTTCATTCCCTCCCTCAACAGTGATCTCCTAGGTACCACTCCATATTCCAGGCACTGCGGTTTCCAAATTCTGGGTTTTCCAAACTCTTTCTACCAACACTTTTGTAATCAGAAT